TTTCATGCTATTAAATTTAGACGATTCCATTCAAGTGACAGGGGCGTAACAATGCAATAATTTATCATCAATACGTACTATGTTCAAAGTTACCGTTGTTCATATTATTTTTCTATGCCAGCTGTAAATTACAATTCAATGTATATATAAATATATATAATATCAAGATTGCAATCAGTCAAGGGTGCAGGTTTCATTGTCCCTAAAACTATGGATCCTAATTAGCATAATTTGTTGGATTCAGACGTGGCATGTGAATTCTGATTGAACTCTACCAATAAGGTGTCAATTATATCACATGACCTGTATTGACATTGTCCTGAAAAACTTATATAAGTAGCGTAGAGAAAGCGTTCTAGGATCACAGATTAAAACAAGTACCCGTAACACCACTATGAGCACTACAACGTCTCCCTGGGACAGGTCACACCGAACTGCGCATAGCTCCGAGTCTACATCATACAGTATACACAGCATACTAGAAATGGGCAAGGCTAGTGAAAACATCAGAGAGGACCATGTTAAAGTTGCCAAGACTAGACACAGAATTCATAAACACGGTACAGTAAATACGTAATGTACTTCATTCGGTCTTAACACTAGAATGTCAGTTCATGGTTTTATGTCTAGGACACGATTACAAACGCTGAATGATACAAATGCAAATCATGTGTAATAATTTAGTTCAGAAGATATTCTGACTAAAATCATAAAAGCGGTAATATGTTTTCCGTGTTGTCTTCGTTGAACCCATTATTCTGCTATCATGTAACGTGATTATGATTTTCATGACTATGCAATGAGCAGTCACATCTACTGTAATAATATCAGAAGGTGCTAATAATACAAATACACGAAATATGTTGACTTGGCCACCCCTCATAAACTATTTTATAGGCAGAAAATTTACATTGATTTAGCAACACAGATTAGCGTTACTTCAGTGTATTGTGGGTTGTGGTGTCGTCCACGCGCAGTATTGTGGGTTGTGGTGTCGTCCACGCGCAGTATTGTGGGTTGTGGTGTCGTCCACGCGCAGTATTGTGGGTTGTGGTGTCGTCCACGCGCAGTATTGTGGGTTGTGGTGTCGTCCACGCGATGTATTGTGGGTTGTGGTGTCGTCCACGCGATGTATTGTGGGTTGTGATGTCGTCCACGCGATGTATTGTGGGTTGTGGTGTCGTCCACGCGATGTATTGTGGGTTGTGATGTCGTCCACGCGATGTATTGTGGGTTGTGGTGTCGTCCAGGCGATGTATTGTGGGTTGTGATGTCGTCCACGCGATGTATTGTGGGTTATGATGTCGTCTAGGCAATGTATTGTGGGTTGTGATGTCGTCCACGCGATGTATTGCGGGTTGTGGTGTCGTTCACGCGATGTATTGTGGGTTGCGGTGTCGTCCACGTGATGTATAGTGGTTTGTGATGTCGTTCACGCGATGTATTGTGGGTTGTGTTGTCGTCCACGTGATATATTGTGGGTTGTGGTGTCGTCCAGGCAATGTATTGTGGGTTGCGGTGTCGTCAACGCGATGTATTGTGGGTTGTGGTGTCGTCTACGAGAATGATTTTATCACACTGTATCACGACTAAATCACTCATTTACAAGATAAAGACCAAGTCACCACTTCAAATGAATTCCATTTAAATGACGTAAACTGGAGAGTAACTAATAAATACGATTAATACATAACTGGCATATTTGCTAGTTTTAAAATGACTGACAAATTAAAAACTCGGCATGTCAACGATATTAATAGTCAATTGGGAAAAGTGTCTATATTTTATGAGGGCATGCCAGTTTCAGTGAAATTGTTAAAATTAGTGTTTACTGAAATCAATTATATGGGTAATTGAGATAATTACCTTAATGACAGTGAAACATGAGTTGTAATGAGGATATACTAATGGTCATCGTAATAAAGCTCAATTTCGTATGTCATCGTCAGACGACGAATACACATTGTACATGTTGTGAAACAAGATCACGTGACACACAGTCCTGTGTTTTTCAGTATCAACAGGTGTCCCACAATGAACCACAATGGTTTGGGTACATACAAAGTCATTGCCTACACTAAACGATAAATTATAACCCAACTCTTTGTCCTTTCCTCCCTCTTTAGAATCGAGGCCTTCTTCGTGTGCCGTCCCTGAAAGTTCATCGGACGCAACTGTCTCCAGTACACCCGAGAAGAGGAAGAAGACAAGGTATAGGTGAGACTTCTATATTTCCGCCGTACAGTACACATGCCATTTTCAGATTCACGGCGCATAACAGATAGAGTACACACAT